ATAGAACTGCCTCATACGGGTGTGAAACTCTGGCATTCCATGATCTGCTGTCTGCATGAACCAGGAGAGCCAGCAGTGAAATTCAGCCCTTATCTGAAGGCCTGAGAACCAGGGGACGGGCCCATGGTGTAAGTCTCAGAGTAATATGAAGGGCTGAAAACCAGGGGCACTGCGTCCAAGGGAAATGACTGGGTGTTCCAGCTCACATAGAGCTGATCTGTCCTTCCTCCACCTTTTTGTTCTCTTTGGGTCCTCAATGGATCAGATGATGTGCAGGCACATTGGTAAGGGTGGTTTCTTTACTCAGTGTACTGATGCCAATGCTAACCTCTTTCAGAAACACCCTCTTAGACATACCCAGAAAATACATTTTATGCAGTATCTGGGCGCCCCTTAGCTCAGTCAAATTTATATATATAATTGACCTCTACAATCAGGTAAGGCAGAATCATAAATACTCATGGCTATGCTTCTTCACAGAAGAAAGAACTGGAACCAGGCACCAAGTAGGAGGAGTCACTGTCATAATAAAGAAAGCACTGGTCACAACTGCTTACTAGTTTGTTCAAAGCTAATATTCCAGGTGCGGAAGACCTGTCAAGGGTAGACTGAGGAAGACCCATTCAACATGTACAAACCACGTTGTGTGTCCTGTGATAGACCTCCAACAATTCCTCTGAGTCTCTGACCCAATCTTAGTGTCCACAAACTCTTTAGCTGAAGTCATTTTATTTAAAAATATTTCTGCTTAGTATCAATCCTGCCCAACGGAGGTGATATATGAGTTAAACTAAGCCACTGGCTTCTCTGTCCTACTCAGAAACTCGTACGGCATAGGGGATAGGACAAGGCAGAGGACTTAGTTTTATTTTCCCTCTAATTTCCTTTGCCAAATCCCATCTATTGTTCTTTGTTTTATTTGAGATCAATTTTATTTTTTAGCTGACTTGAATATGGGTAATAAATTTATGGAAACAAGGAAAAAAGAACTATCCATGGAGAAGCTAGTCTTGCAGGGTAAATGGATCCAACTGCTGTTCCTTTGTTCTTCATAGAGACTTTCATCATGCTATGAAATTGCATCTTCCCTCTCATGAATCGTGAAGACACTACATTTCTCTCAACATCAATGTCGATGGAATAGCAGGTGCAGAAAAAGAACCAGCAATTTGGATCAGTCTCAGGCATGATAGTATCAAAAGACCACTGACCTCTTCCTCAGTAGAATTAGTGAAAATTATTTAAAAAGCAAATATCTAAAACTTCTGGAGATGACCTTAAGTGTATTTTGCAAATTAAGAAACATCTATTCAAGGAAATCTATGGAAGTTTGTTAAGAAAATTGATAGTCTGTGATATTTGAATCAAGACTCCTCTCCCCTGCTCCCCTCCCAGGTCAAGTTGGAGACTCCACTCCAGACTATTGCAGTCCAAAATACACTGCTCTCCTTTGCACCAGTCCCCGGTCAGAAGGCATTATTACCTGTTAGTATTTCTCATTGGCCCCAGCTACCTGTTGTTGAAGCCAACTTCCAGGTGGTTGGTAATAGAAGTGAGACTCCCTTCCTAGGCCTACTGCCTACCTATGGACTGGTGGCTTTCCTTTGGTTGGGGTGCACTGTTAATACCCATGTTCTGAGTGCATTTGGTCCAGATGGTGAAGCAGTGGTTTCCTGCTGAGAGGCCAGCTGATTGATCTCCGGCTGCTGCATCTTTTCCCTTGCAAATGAATGCTACCCTGGAGCAGGTGGTCCAACATTATCTCCACCCTTAGATCTAGAGCCTTTGCTCAGAGCATTTATCAGGGGGAAGAAATCAGGACACAAGAAAAAAAAGCGAAATCACCTTCGAGAAGCCATAAAAAAGAACAGCCCTTGTCTAGACTGTTGAGGAACACTTCCGTTTTTTCATTCCACTCTTTCTTTCCTTCTGTTTCTTTTCTTTCCCAGATCAAACAGGAGCGGGAGGAGAAAGAAGGTAGGAAGAGTGGGTGGGAAGAATTATTATGTTCCTAATGTTGTATTTATGAGATACATACAAAAAAAAAGATATTCTGATCTCTTTCCAAAGGAATGGACTTCATTTGCACCAGACTGGGATGGAGGTCAAGGCTAGGAGGGTTCTCAGGAACACTGGAGTTTACTGTGAAATGCAGTTGATATTGCTTAGTCTTTGGGCTGGGATGTTTGCAGGAAAAACTGAGTAAGAAAATTATGAGGAGCCCTCCTGGGGTCAGAAGAAATATCAAACACTACCCTCAGAATCTGTTTTTTTCAAACAATAGGTTTTTTAAAATTATTATTTTGTATGGCAATTTATGCCTCAGAACGGTCTTGAACACAATAGAGGAGCCAGCTGGTGATTGATGGAGTTTAATAGCTGAGTTATCAGGATCTCCAAATATAAAAATGCCCATTTTTATCGGACAGAAAATTATGACTAATGTGGTACTCTAGGCCTTCTTCTCAAGATGTAGAGCCAATGGCAAGACAGAATACTCTAATTAGAAGCTGATCAGATTGACTCATAGGTAACCTAAGTATTCTTTTACTTTACAGTTATGATCCTACTTCATAATCCAATCATTGTATATTCTTCTATGAAGCTGAAGACTAATTTTGTTACAATTCACAAGGCCAAATTCACTCCAAAATATTTTCATATTTTGTCACTTGTTGAAGCTTTTCTGCTAACTACTGATTTGGTTATCTCATAGGTCCAAAACTCTGAATTTTCTCTTTACATGAATTATATATTAGATTTTACTGTATATATCTCATTTTATTTTAAAAATTAATTTATTTGAAAAGCAGAGAGAGAGAGAGAGAGAGAAAGAGAAAGTGCCAATCCACTGGTTTACTTATGAAATTCTCACAACAGCCTGGCCTGGATCAGGTTGAAGCCATGAGCTGAGAACTAAATCAACTTCTCCCACATGGGCAGTGGAAACCCAATTATATGAGCCATTACTGCTGCCTCCCAGGATCAACATCTGCAGGAAGCTGGAATCAGATTGGAGCAGAGACCTGAGTCTGGGTACTCCAATACAGATATATGTATCCTAAGTGATATCTTAATTGCTAAAGTGCCCACACTGTACATATTTTTAAAAATGACAACAGGCATGGTTTTTCTAGATATAATGGATGTCATCCCTATAGAAACCCCAAGCCAAACTACTCCAATTGAAATACACATGTAGATTCTAAAAAATAAATTTAAAGGTGAGATTCATTTTAGTTATAGATATTGAACTATAATATAATTAGAATTTGATTTATTATTATATGATTTCCAAGTTGAGAAACTTTGATCTGACTTTAAAAATCTTACGTTAAATATACATACACACACACAAACATACACATATAACTTAGAATGCTCCTATGTCCAATAAAATACTTTAGTGATTTTTCATATTTGATAGTAAAATATTTTCTCAAACATATGAATGAAAGTATCCAATTCTGCCATGACATTTTCATATGGATCTTTGTGTGGAGATAAGTTTTTATTTATCTTGAATAAATGTTAAGGAGTGGAATTTTTTGACTTCAAGAATCAACCCAATAGGCCAGCGCCGCGGCTCACTAGGCTAATCCTCCGCCTTGCGGCGCTGGCACACCGGGTTCTAGTCCTGGTCAGGGCGCCGGATTCTGTCCCGGTTGCCCTTCTTCCAGGCCAGCTCTCTGCTGTGGCCAGGGAGTGCAGTGGAGCATGGCCCAGGTGCTTGGGCCCTGCACCCCATGGGAGACCAGGAAAAGCACCTGGCTCCTGCCATCGGATCAGCGCGGTGCGCTGGCCACAGCACGCCGGCAGCGGCGGCCATTGGAGGGTGAACCAACTGCAAAGGAAGACCTTTCTCTCTGTCTCTCTCTCTTACTGTCCACTCTGCCTGTCAAAAAAAAAAAAAAATCAACCCAATAAATATTAAGCAAGCTATTTATTTTTATTTTATTTTATTTTTTTAAGCAAGCTATTTAAATAGACATTTCAACCTAGAAGATTCAAAACAGACAAACGAGCACACGCAAAAATGTTTGACATCCTTAGTCATTACAGAAATGCAAATTTAAACTACAACGATATACTAGTCTACAGGTATTAAAAAGACTAAAATCAAAGAGTAGCAAAATGCCAAAAGAATGTGAAGTAGCTTGAACTTTCCTGTGTTGTTGGTGGGTTTACAAAATGCTGTAGCTCCTTTGAAGAGTAGCTTGGTACAGGCTCACAAGCTAGTTTCCTACAGCTAGCTTAAGTAAATGGCTCCACCTAGTGTTTATATGGAAGAAAGTGCTTAAAACATGATATTTACACTTGAATCGGAAGAATTGCAAACGGTCAACTTTATCTTACTTTTTATTCTTACTGTAATCAAGGAAAGACGATTCCAAATAATAATCAAATGTATAAAACAAACTCTTTCAACATGCATTTTCTTTTTGTTTTTTTTTGTTTTGTTTTGTTTTTTTTGACAGGCAGAGTGGACAGTGAGAGAGACAGAGAGAAAGGTCTTCCTTTGCCGTTGGTTCACCCTCCAATGGCCGCCGCGGCCAGCGCGATGCGGCCGGCGCACCGCGCTGATCCGATAGCAGGAGCCAGGAGCCAGGTGCTTTTCCTGGTCTCCCATGGGGTGCAGGGCCCAAGCACCTGGGCCATCCTCCACTGCACTCCCGGGCCACAGCAGAGGGCTGGCCTGGAAGAGGGGCAACCGGGACAGAATCCGGCGCCCCGACCGGGACTAGAACCCGGTGTGCCGGCGCCACTAGGCGGAGGATTAGCCTAGTGAGCCGCGGCGCCGGCCTAACATGCATTTTCTTAAGAAGAGACAGAGTAAGGGAGAAATCCCTGACACTGGATAATGAAAACATAGTTTTCTCAAAGGCAAAGCAGAAAGTTGGACTAGAATACTGAGGAAGCAAGAAATCCCTAAGCTTCTGAATTGAAGAACAGGATTTTTCATCTTGTACATTAGCAGCAGTACTTGTGTTAAGAATGATTGTGGGGGAGATGATTATGTAACTATCTGGAATTACAACATTTCTATTAACATGTGCCAGACACAATACTAGGCCTAACTGATACAAAAATGAATAAAAATGAATAAAGTATAGTTTCAATCTTCTAGGAGTTCACATATATGAGGGTATTTCAACACTTGATCTTAGCCAAAAGGCCGAGAAGTGATTGAGGGTACTTCAAAACAAGTTGACTGGGGCCTGTGCCGTGGCTCACTTGGTTGATCCTCCACCTGCTGGCATTCCATATGGGCACCGGGTTCTAGTCCAGCTCTCTGCTATAGCCCGGGAGGGCAGTCCAGCTCTTCTGGACTTCCAGTCAAGCTCTCTGCTATAGCCCGGGAGGGCAGTGAAGGATGGCCCAAGTGCTTGGGCCCTGCACCAGCATGGGAGTCCAGGAAGAGGCACCTGGCTCCTGGCTTCGGATAGGCACAGCTCTGGCCCCTGGCAGCCATTTGGGGAGTGAACCAATGGAAGGAAGACCTTTCTCTCTGTCTCTCTCTCTCACTGTCTAGAACTCTACCTGCCAAAGAAAAAAAAGGTTGGTTTTGGTGAAAAAAATTGTAATCTTTGCATGTAAGGGGTCTTCAAAAAATTCATGAAAAAATATGTTGTGAAAAATTTATGTATGGGTTTCAAGTTTCTTTCACACCAAAATAAACTTTATATTTCAGTTCATTTTCTACAAACTGTTTTAAGTACCCTCATATTTTCAAACTGATAACAGGATATAAAAATAAAAGCAACAACTAAACACAAGCACACAAGTTAAAATTTTGTTCTACAAATAGTGGTTTAATTGGAGATACCTTAATCTCAGTTTCATTTATTTCACATGAAATTTATATCAGATCTCAATCAAACGTACACTTACATTAATGTCATTAAAGAGGCTTAGATATGGAGGAGGAATACACATCTCCTTCATGCAATTATAAAAAGGATTCTCCAATTAACGTAAAAACACATAATTCCAAGTAGTTTAGTGGAAATGCTTTCAATACTGTAGTATACAAAGCACTAAGAAACTAAATGCAATTTGTATTAAAAAACTATATTTTTAAAAAATTATAAAATTAGACTTTAAGACTTTAAATTATTTTAAACCAGCAATGTTAAGAATTGGAAATATAATTTATCTGAATGTACTTCTTTAATTCATTTGGTGAAAATCCCTCCCTCCCTATCAATATATAATGCTTTCATAAATGGACCAAAATGCTGAAGTCCACACATAAGCCAGAAAAATTGGAGTAGAAAATGTCAGTCAATTGGTTCATTTGGGTCCACACCATTATTTTCTCCCATATTGGTGTTATGAAAAGTCTATTTTAGAGAGTGGCTGCATTTACAAAGAATTTTAAATTCTGTATTCTGAACAGAACATTAAAAAAAAATCCAGTGGATTTTATAAATTGAATAAATGAGTTTCCAGGAAAACCAGGGTGCATAATTCTCTCCTGCGAATACTGGACTTCAGAGGCAGAATCATTTGTGTAAGACTTTGGAACCCATTCTCAGCTCTGGGCATGCTCTTATTGCCCAGCTGTTGTGGTGTCTTTGTAAGACACTGCAACTAGGAACTGCTTTTTTCCCTCGATTTAGAATGGTCATCCCACATGGTTGCAAAGCTTCATGTTTCTTGTGTTTCCTAGCAGCATGGGTCTCTAAAGAGTAGCAGCGGCCAAGATCATGATGTTATTCCCACTGTGCCCAGGAATATTCAAAGACTAAACTGTTTCTCGTTTTGCTTAAGTATGTGATGTTTTAAGTATTGGACATATTGCCTATGCTTAATGTTATAGAACTATTTCAAGTACTTACAGGAAATTAAAACATCTAAGTTGTTTATTAATTCATATAATGTTTCATTTCTAGAGTATAACAAATCATATAATAAATTCTCAGTTTTGATTCATTTCTAAAGACAGCCAAATAAAAAGATGCAATTCTAGGTTTTTTTAGAGAATAATTTCTGCAGCCTACTAATAGAAGAACCTTTCCACATACATTAAGCTTAGCTCACTATTCACTACAGGTGACTTTAACCATAAACCTTTGCCCTCTTGTATATAATCAGTTGTGTTCGTTTTGTGGTTTAAATGCTGTACAAAAACAATAAATAGCTCCGAATGGTTGTAGACCTGCTTCCTGTCTGGCCACATGGATGCTCTCTACTCTCCGGAACTGTGGTTCGGTCAGGACTATATCCTGTTTCAGCCCTTCTAATGGAAAGGGGTTTGTTTAAAGCATTTATGTTTTACAACTGTCTTCCCTCTCAGGAAGTCAGTGTCTATTTCACTAAGACAGCCTTGCACCATTCTGGTGATGTAAGAGGCAACGAAGCCTTCTGCAGCTTAGTGCTAAGGAAGCTGGTGATGTTGAAGTTCAGCAGTTTTCCAGAAGTTCCGCAGAGTAACTGCTCTGTCTTATTTACACTCACCCAGATCCTGTCTTTGCACCTCACATCTCCAGAGTCTCAGAGTTTCTATCTAAATTCTACAACCCAATAAGCAATTAAGACGCTGGTGCTGTAGTGATTGAGTTTCCTGCACTTGTTTGATAGTGCAGTGTTTTGGAGGTAATGAGCAGCTCCCTAAAGCTTTATGTTTAAAGGAATCTTGCTAAGCATGACTTTTCTTGTTATTTTTATCTGCATCTGCTAATCATCCAACTTACCTGTTTTTATTGGTTTTTTTTTTTTTTTTCTTCCAGGGGCAGAGGAAGGGCATTATATTAGAAGGGTTGAGTCTAAAGAAAATTTCTTAATTGTACATATTTGTGCAATGGTGATAAGAACACCTACAGAAATTTATAACTGCTGACTCTTTGTGGTTGAAGCAAATAACTTGAACTCCAGTATCTGGCAGAGAAACAGTAAGTGCTCTGTTGGGATATATAAAAAAAATAGAATTCAGTGGGTAGATCCACTTCTTGTTTTCTGGAAGAGGGTGTTTCAAAGCTAGAAAAAGAAGATAGAAGAGACCCTATGAAGTCATTTCTCCAGCCTTTCTTAAGACTTTCTTTGAGGAAGGAAAGACTGGAAACTAACCCCAATTTACAGATTAGATGGTCTTAATTTATTTCAGGTTTTTTAAAGTAAGTACTCAGATGCCAAGACATCTAAGGTATTAAGGGATCTTGTTAGGAATGTCAGTCCCTGTGGTAGTTTCCAAAATCTCTACATTGAAGTGTTAAGACCATAGAGATAGTCAGAATGGACCAGGCAATATGGCTCACAGCTCTTTCTCAAGAATAAGCTTGGTGCAAACTATTTGGTGAACAATTTCTGGTAGACTGAACAGGTATACTCATTTTACAGGTGGCTCTTGGTCTAGTTACTGGAAATGTCTTTTAAAAATTTCTCATTTAAAGAGTCGATTATAATGAACAGCAAAAAAGTTGATTATGTGTCAATGTTATGAAGTGTGACTGATTATATTACAGAACCTAAAATGACTTTTGACTTTCCCCCCTCACTCGCTGGAATGCATCTCAGTACTAACGGGATCCTGTTTGTTGGAACACAATGTCTTACAACGATGTCCAGCAGGTGCTGGGGGCAGCAACACATGTAAGAAACTGACCTAAGAGCTTGGGTGAGTAACTATTCAGATCTATGCAATTCTGATTTTTTTGTGACTAAAATTGTCTATAATTCAAACAACAAATAAATTCAACCACACCATCCATTAGGACATCTCTCACACACTCGCTCTCTGTTAAATGATTAACTAGTAATAGGGTTTTTTTTTTTTTTTTTTTTCAGAGAGTAGTCAAATTGATCCTTTTCACGACAGAGCGACAGGCAGAGAGAGAGAGAGAGATATCTTCCATCTGCTGTTCATTTTCTATATGGCTGCAACAGCTGGGACTGAGCCAGGCCAAAGCCAGGAGCCAGGGCTTCTTTTGGGTCTCCCACATGGGTGCAGAGACCCAAGCACTTGTACAATCTTCTGCTGCTTTTCCCAGGCCACTAGCAGGGAGCTGAGTCAGAAACGGAGCAGCTGGGACCTGAACTGTTGCCCATATGGGATGCAGGAGGAAAAGGCAGTGGCTTTACCTTCTATGTCACAGTGCTGGTCCCTCAAATTGAGTCTTCGGTGTAAATGTATCCTCAGTTGTCAGAACTTTAATTCTGACTAGTGCCACTGGATCAGATTACGTACGGGAATCGACAATTCTTTTCCTTTATGTTATCTTCCATAAGCTGTTGCTCTTGTTCTCTACTTGAATTGTGAATGTCGGCTGTGCAGTTAGCAGCCATTGCGTGATTTCAGAGAGGGTGCATCTCACACAGACTCCAACTTCTGGCTGGTGACCCCTACACCAAAAATACAGTGACAGGTGGGAAGCACAGAAATGTCAGATGCACCCAGATGAAATTCTCTGAGGTGGGTTTGAATTTCAGGGCTATTAACATACACATTTATTGTGGTTTTATGTTTGCTTTCTTGTGTGATTTTTCTTTTTTTCTAATTTGCGTTCCAGAATACTTATTTTAACTGTATCTATTCCCTTTACTCCAGTAGGTCAGGCCAAATACAGTAAGTGCTTCAAGTTAGTCTGTGAATCTCACTGGGATTTCCCGAGGCTCACCTTAGCCTCTGTGCTACAGACTTTGCTTTGCATAAAAACAAAACAAAAAAAAACTGAAACAAAAAATAGAAAAACATAAATAAAAACAGCTTCATTAAAGTTGGTTCTCTTGGAGGCACACTTTGCTGTAAAATGAAAATTATCAAACTCAAGAGAACTTGGCAAAATCTCAACTAATCTTCTCAGTCCTACTGAGGAAGAGTAGCCATCCATGAACAGAATTTGCTCCCTTTTGCAGGAAGCAAGAGGCCAACAGCAGATCACTGGGGGATTTTAAAGAAGAAACATACTCGTCTTTAAATTCCACAGTTTGCCAAAACAATCTGTTGTATGGCAGTACTTAAATTGGCTCCAGGTGCAGCACCCAGACAATTTAGAACAACCACACAGTGACCGTTTAGCAAACATTCTTAATTATCTTGTTTTGAAAATAAGAGCTGGGCAGCCCCTGTTGGCCTGTTGTTTTCCTTGCCCAGGAGATGCACCCTGGCAGACTGAGAGCAGCTAATCAGGCGCTTTTCTCAGTCCTTTGTCCTTTCTTCTGGGAGATAATTCACACCCTGCCTCTCCACAGGGCTGCAGTGTGGTAAGGCCTGAGAAGAGCTATCAGGTGGGGACTTGAGCCGTCAGCCTGGCTGAGAACATCTGTTCTGACCCGCAGAGCCACGGAGACACAAGAAGCCATCAGCCTGCCGTTTTCTTCTTTCCTCAGAGTGGGCACTGGGGAGCTTAAAACCCTTTTCCGTCAACGACCAAGACCCTCGGTTTGTTCCTTCCCTTCTCTCAAGAGAAGGCAGTTCTGTCTAACCTGGTTGAAGAATTTCACTGAGAAAAGACCTAGATAAAAGACTGGAAGTTGCACCAGAAAAGCTGAGCGGAGGAAGGAGGCTTTCAGGAATCCGGTCCCTGTCCCACATCACAAAAGTCTGTGAAGAAGAAGGGAGGTGAAATCTCAAGGTGAAAAAATTGGAGTGAGGATTTGGTACAAAACAAACAGTGAGAAAACAACTGGTTATTTCAAACAGGGCAAAAGGGGGCATGATGGGGTGAAATAAAAAATAATAACAAAGTAGTTATATTCATTGTTTTTTATAACAAATAACAAATAAAGTTATTTATAACAAGTGTGTGTATGTAATTATAATTCTCAATAGTAAGGTAATAGAATGGAATGTTTTACTAAAATTTATCCAAGATAATTACACCAAAATATCCATAGCATATAGATTCTGGATGTGTGCAAAACAGTAAAAACAAAACAAAAAATGGAATGTACTGATGAAACTTGGATAGAATGAATAAATTATTCCAGAATTTGGTATATATATATAATATATATATATATACACATATATATCACATTTAAGACACACAGTTGTATGAGTCAGGAATCATTGATTTTTAAGGGATAAAAGCACAAGGCAACCTCGCTAAGGAGAAGAAAACAACAGGATTCCTTGGCACACACTCCTGGGGGTGGGGAGATGTGTGTCAGGTGGAAGAGTGTTCAATGATGTTATCAGGATTCTGTCTCTGTCTCCATCTTTGTGTTGGTTTCATTCTGAAGATAGGCTCTTTCCCTGTGGCGGGGAGGAAGCCTGCTGTTAGCTCAATGTTGTATCCACTCGGTGATTGTAGTGGAAAAAGACCCAATATCTCTAGACTAGTCTCAGTGAAAATTATTATTATTGCTTAAGTCATGAGACTAGTTGTGAATCAACAGCTGTGCTTTGATTGGCTCAGGCTGGGTCACGTGACCACCCTTCAGTTGGCAAAGAGAGTTGGATCCCATGTGAAACAGTCCAAATCAGCGCACATAAGAGAAAACAGTGCTATTACAATGTATTAGAATCACAGTGTATGGTAATTTCCTTATGTGCTGAAAATTACTAGATTTCTTGAATTTGGCACATAAAAGTCACATTTTTAATAGAACTTCTGAAACTGGAGAGTAATAGATAGAGTGCCATAAAAATGTGTCATAACTCCATGTCTCTTAGTTTTTTCCTATTTCCCATAAACTATTCATATCAAATGTCCAGGGAAAAGAAACATTAAGTGAGTAAACCAACAAAAATTCCCAGCTGTAGTGATATTTTTAATTTTGGGGAGTGGAAAAGCTCATTTATGGGAAGTGAGTTTGAAAAGTCAAGCTTGAAACCACCTTCATGGCAAAAGAACATAGCAACAGTTTTTATAAATACAAGTAACCTGGACCGAGGGTAGAGCCCACTTATCAGAATGAATGCTCTTCACGTGCAGCCTGCTTCCTACATTCCAGCCAAGTGAGACATCAAACTTATCTGAGTGCAAGTAAATCTATTTTCAAGTCTTACAGGAAAACGGCGCTGTAAGAAAAGCGTGATAATTCTGTCGACTCTGACTTCAGTGGCAGAAAAGTAAAGTTCTTGCAACTGAAACTTAATGATTGTGACGGTGGTACGCTACAGCTACGTTCAGTGTCCTGCTGTGTGAGACAGATGATAGCCAACAAATGCACAAAATGAGTGTCATTCCTCAGAGAAGCAATCCTCCACCAAGAACTACAGGTGGCTAATTGAAAACAAATCAGTATTTGTTATTAAAGTAATTAAAAACATGTTATACTCTTCAGTGCTATTTGTGTATAGATAGATAGATAGATAGATAGGGTGTTATAACCTTTGATTATGTAGTATTTAAGTCAACGAATTAAAAATTTTCAGAATACGTCTTATAGCAAGTCACATACTACAAATGGTGGTGTTGCCATCCTCAGTAGCTTTGCTAATCCTCCACTGTTGAATTAATGATCTTCAGCAGTGATATTCAGAAGTCAATAATAAATTCAAACTTTGTGCAAACCTTACTGATCTTCAATTAAGAGATATTGATGTTAGTGAGTGGGAGGCAAATAAATATTCATCATGAAATGATAATCCAAGTGTTTTATGGTAAATTATTTTGAAAGTCTGGAAGGAACATTACCTGTTCCACACCACCCTTAGAACAACCGATTCGAATTTGAAAATTAGTCTGAGAGTTAAAGGAAAGAAAGTGACAGAGAAGAAGGACGTCTCAAGCTTGCTTCCTTCTTACCCTCCCAATTCCACAAAAACAAGCAAACAGAAACTGAAAAGGAAGGTGTGTTTGGCAGTTTTGACAGCTACATAACCTCCTATTTTAAGCTCCTCATTTGACACAGGTAAAATAAAAAGTATCTGGAATTTCATGTTGATGACGAGCACAAGACGTATTAAAGTGTTGGTGTTTCTGGGGCCGGTGCTGTGGTGCAGTGGGTGAGGCCTGTGTACCATATGAGCACCAACTGGAGTCTTGGTTGCTCCACTTCCAGTGCCGCTCCCGGTTAATGTGCCTGGGGAAGCAGAGAGAGATGGTCCAAGTACTTGGGCCCTTGCCACCCACATGACAGGTCAAGATAGAGTTCCAGTCTCCTATGTTCAGCCTAGCCCAGGCCCTGCCATTGTGGCCATTTGGGGGGGTTAATTAGTGGATAGAAGATAGATCTCTCTCTCTCTCTCTCTTTCTCTCTCTTGCCCTCTCTCTCTCTCTCTCTCTCTGATAGAGGTTGTCAGTGGGCTATTTTTCATTATAACTTTTGTTAAGTCTTTTTTTTTTTTTAAGATTTATTTTTATTTATTTGAAAGACAGAGTTCCAGACAGAGGTAGATTCAGAGAGAGAGAGAGAGAGAGAGAGAGAGAGAGAAAGTCTTCCATCCACTGGTTTACTCCCCTAATGACTGCAACAGCCAGTGCTGAGCTGATCTGAAGCCAGGAGCCAGGAGCTTCTTCCAGGTCTCCCACGATGGTGCAGGGACCCAAAGACTTGGGCCATCTTCCTCTGCTTTCCCAGGCTACAGCACAGAGTTGGATCACAAGTGGAGCAGCTGGGACTTGAATCAGTGCTCATATATGATGCTGACATGGCAAGCTGGGGCTTTATCCTACTGCACCACAGCATAGGCCCCTTGTTAAGTCTTTAAGTAATAAGTTAGTGATATTTATAAGGATCTATGTAGTTAAGAGCTTGGGCCTTTCATTTAGACCTAATTTGAACTCTAGGTGATTTTATGACTTCAGTAAACTAAGTAACACTCTGGCCAATTTTCCCTCTTCCTTGAAATTGGGATAATGTATGCATTCATTTAATAGAGGACCGAGCTAACGAGAGAGCATAGGAACAATACTCTCCACAATGCCTGTGCCATGTGATAGCTATTACTATTTAGTCAAATACACCACAGTATCAAAGGAACTTACTAAAAGCTCTCATTTCTGGATTTCAAAAATGGAAAAAATATTTATCATGATTTTTTAAGTAACTAGAATATATCAAACATTGGGCCAGTAGGCTTGTCTCAATTTCTCATTTTATCCTCTTTGTATGAAGTAGAATTTGTCTTTCCAGATTTATAAATAAAAAAAAAAACTCACGGCAAGAGAGATTAGGCATACAAACTAATTATATATTTTTGAAAACTTTTAGTGATGTTAGGTAGAAATTGTTTTAATAATGAAGGGATTCTCAAAGATTTAATTCATTTTAGTGTATTAAGTGGAGGATATTCTTATGTCTCATAAGTTACAGTTATGTCTAAGTGCTCCCAAAAGATGTATCATTCTTGGGCTCTTCTTTAAAGTTAATTAAATTTCTCAAAAAAAAAAATGCTTAAAAAAAAAGTGAAATCAACTTCAAGATGCAATGACTTTCAACAGCCCTTGTCTTGACCTCTGGACAGTTTTTTTTCCCATACAGTTTGTTGAACTCTTTACCTGGTATAGAGTTAATCTTCTGTGTATGGGTTTAATTAAAGATAGATCTTAACTGAGAGTGAGACTGGGAAAGGGAGCAGGAGGAGGGGTGGGAGTGTAGGTGGGAGGGTGGGTACAGTGGGAGGAATCACTATGTTCCTAAAATTGTACATATGAAATGCATGAAGTTTGTATTACTTAAATAAAAGGTTTCTTTAGGAAAAAAAAATGAAAGGGTAGGTGATTGTGCAATGGTTTAGACCCTGTTTGGGATGATGGCATGCCACATCAGAGTGCCTGGGTTTGATTCCTGGTTTCACTCCCAGTGCTAGCTTCCTAATGTGCATTCTGGGAGGTACAGTAATTAGGTTCCCACCACTCAAATGGGAGGCCCAGATTGAAGTCCAGACTACTGTCTTCAGCCTGGCCCAGCCCTGATTTTGTGAGCATTTAGGGGAGTGACACCAGTGGATTGAAGATGTCTGTGTGTCTCTGTATTTCTTTCTGCCTTTGAAATAAAATGAAAAGCAAAATGTTTAACAATAACAAATCCCCACAACTCTTTCTCTGAGACTAATTTTAGACAGTAGAAAACGGAAAATTGTCCGTATTGTGCCTTAGGGTATTTTCTGTTAAATTTCTTTAGATTATTTAACCTTAGAGCCTAGGATAGGAAAAGTGCTGCACATATGGGAATGTCTCTGTGTATAACATTCTTTCTTCCTTTGGAAAATGAAAAAGAAAGTGACGTGGAGATGAGAGGCATTCAGAAAAGTCAATGTGTCGGATTCCAAATAAAAATTACAGTGTGCCGGCAAACTTTGTTTTAAATATTTGTCAATCAAAATGATAGACAGTTTATGCTACTATAATGACTGTTTTAAAGTTTACTTTATATATACTTTTATTTTATTTTATTCACTATATATATATATATATATATATACTTTTCCTTTGATTATTGTGTGTATCCCTTGCCTATTTTTCTCCTGGACTATGATCTTTATACTTATTTGTTGAACTATTTATTTTCTGGAACCAATAAGCCTTTGAATATAATTTAAGTTGAAAATATGCTACTTCAACAAATAACAAATTCAGTATTTTATAAAAAAAGAGTTTCAAAATTATAAAAACCCAACTTAATCCTGTACTGGTTAGAATGATTTAATCAGAGAAATAGTTTGATTTTTAATCTTAGTGAGCTTTTATCCTTAGTGAAGTTATACAAATGGACCAATGATATGTAGATCTACTTGTCCCTTTAATTAGGTCTTAAATATACAAAGAAAAATAGCA